TATAGTGTCCACAGACCACTGCTGCAACGACAAATTTCCAGCTGGGTAACCAATATAACTTTCCTAAGAGACACAGCCAAATGCTAAAAAAGCATGATATAAATTATAATTTCAATGAAACTTGCAAACAAGATGTAAGAATGAAAAAATAGCACAATATATCAATAGCAGTTAGTTTCACTAGAATCCTGTCATAATCACTCAGCTAATGCGGAAAAACAATTCTAATGTGATAATGATAATTTCAATCAAACTTGCAAACAAGCAAGCAGCAAAAAATAGCACAGAATATCAATAGTAGTTAGTTTCACTGGCATCCTGTCATTCAGTTGCCTTGGTATCCGTTACTACACTTCTTCGCACATACAGACCCCACATGACTGCTTTTCATGGCGTGCAAACATCTCTTCCTGACCTAGGAATATGATACAAATCAATCTGTATAAGATCACCTACGCAGATGGATTTCAAACAGATGCATATGGTGTTTTATGATGCTTTACAGCATTACGTTATCCTTGTTTATAGTGTCCACAGACCACTGCTGCAAACACAGTGCGGCAAAAAATAAAAATAAAAAAAGGATCCAGTTGAGCAGTCAGACTCACTACTGAAACTCTGAAACAGAGCAGAGGGAATGAAGAGCAGCCTGCTTCTGATTGGCCACATAGGATGCGGCGAATGGCAGCATAGCGTAGCCCTCATCCAATCAATATCCATCAAAACACGCCATTTGCTTTTATGAATGAGGAGCAGCGTATGCTGTGCATGTGCACACGTGTACGATGCGTGTACGTTCCAGCTTTACTGTAGCACTTATACACGTTTAGAGGAATGAATGACATGCTCCAGAACATAAAACCATCGTTTGTGGCAGTTCAGCCGGGTGTTGTGGCTGTATGAGCACTTGGGCTAAAATAAAGTGCGCTTTGCAACTGTCTGGCTTGAAATTTCCCACCAGACAACTGCAGCAGCTGAATGAAGCATTAATCAAGGGCACACAAATATCAGTTTTCACATAACCAATGAGAACAGCTGCAGCCATTTGTTTTAACTGCTGGATGGATGCAATAATTTGAATAACTGATCAAATCTGTGACTTTCCATGAACCTAGTGTCTGGCGAGCAAAACTGGGGAATTAGGTTAAGTGTGTCTGGGCCCTCTTTGGTGTCTCAACAGTGCCCCCTACAGGCGGATGAGAGGGGCGCCACTCAAAACAAATTACATCATAGATTGCCTGCCACATTCACTGCTGCTTCTTGCAGACAAAGAGAAGACAGACTCAAAGCTGAGACACATTAGTCTAAACGTGGCGAGATAAGGGATGTCTCTAGAAGAACGTGTCCGTCTGTTCGTTCTGATGAGGCTGGCTGTGCTGATGGCCATGGGACTCTCAAAAATAATATGAAATTAAACATTTAGTCACCAGGGCTGCAATGATGCGAAATGTCTTTAAATGGTTTTGAAATTATGATAATGCATTTCATTTTGCAACAAAGCACTGAAGGAAGCAATGTAAAGTAAATATGCAAGGCAAAAAAAATATATATATATATATATGCGCGCTCATTGGGTTTTGAAAGAAGCAGTGTAAGATCTATATTAAATGGCACTGCAATGATTTTGAGTGGAACATTGTCAAGATTGTTGAGACGTGTTTCTTTCAAATGAAGAACATGCCATCTAATGGCAAGTGAGGGGAAGACGGGCATCACAGGATGCATCACATTAATACAGAATTAGAAAAATATATTTACTACTAATTTAGCATACATTCACTACTAGTAAATTAGTAGTGAATATATTCTAATCCGAGAGGGGAAAAAAAAAAAAAAAAAAAACTACTGATCAAGACGTAAATAAAATTTACAAAAATGACAGCACACTGGAGGATCTTTATACAACTAGCATTTTAATTCAAGTGAGAAAAAAAAAAAAATTCATCCAACAGCACATTCAATATTTATTCTAATATTTTATTTGAATGAAAATTTAGAAGTTCCCCAGTGATTCTGCTTACTCCTAATATGGGTCAGTAGACTTTTTTCTCTCATGGCCTTATGACATTTTCTTTTCAGTTAATACCAAACATCCTGACCTTACAATATCATTTGGAATTCGATTCATAAGTCTAATTTCTTGTTAATATCATAAAAATTAAAGTGGCACAGTATATCCTAATGGCAAAACTGGTCAAACTATAGCCAACAAGTTCCTTTTTTTCTGGTAACACTGAGGATTTGAGAAGTTCCTCACAAGAACCAATAAAGATGAATATATTAGGGATGCACCGATATGAAAATTTTGGCCGATACCGATAACCGATTCTTCTTTATTTTTGAAAGCCGATAACCGATATGTTGGCCGATAAATCTATATCCAAATTGTTATATACTTTGAGAGCCTGATTACAAAAAAGGTCTCATCATTAAAAGCCACATCCCAAACACTTCAACATAAGCAGCCTAGTTTGAACGGTGTACGTTTTAAAAATATTTTTACTCTCCCATTACCAAATTTAGTCATAAAAAAGTCTTACAAATAAATAAAATTATGCATAAATAATGCAAACAAGTCACTGGACATCGTTACACGTGTAAAGAATCAAAATGAATGCGCCATAGATCAATAAAACGGAATAGCCTCTGCACGGACAATAATTAAATGATTTTAATTACTAAACCATACTGTTGATGAAAATAATAAGAGAACAATACAAGTGGTTGTTGTTATTAATAATATATCAATGATTGTGAAAAAGTAACAAATTAATGCCACTGTTTTAAATAGCAGCCGTTGAGCTGCACGTGCTGAAGCTGAAGAGCTGAATGAAATACAATTTCTTTAGGTCTCTTCTGTCCACTTGGTCACTTCTGTCTTGATTTCTTTGAGGCTAGGATCGTGCGCATTTTACATTAACTCTCAAATTAGCTGCAATTCGTCGTAAAGTAATTGCTCGTTTTCAGTTCATTTGAGTTTTCCCTCTTTTCTTTGCTATCCTTCGCTTTTAAATAGCTTAAAAGCGCAGTGCGCATTTTACATTAGCGGCAATTCAGAGTCAACAAAATACAATGTCAAACTCACTCAGCCTAAATATAAATCAGAACTTTTATTAATACAAATAACAATACACCATGCTATAGGCCAGGGGTGCCCAACCCTGGTCCTGGAGATCTACCTTCCTGCAGAGTTCAGTTCCAACCCTTTAAAATGAATAAACCCGTGTTTATTATTTTTTCAAAACAAGAAAAAACATACTGTGATTTACCGTGTCTAAGTTAGGGCTGGACAACAATTCAATATCAATATATATCGCGATATATTTTTTTTCAATAACGGTGATTTGGGGCAGTTGACTTCCTTGAATAAACGTGAGCACTGCACGTTTCAAAATCAAAATGTGGCGTGGGTGTTTTATACGAATGTATCTTTGAAGGGAACCGACTGTCTTCAAAAAAGTTTCGATGGCATTTTCATCTGAAAAAGCAGCGTTCATGAGTGGAACAGCCGATACCGCTGTTACTGCCGCTCTAAAGAGCCTCCTGCTGGCAGAGAATTAGCTCGTCTACAGTAACACTTTTTTCCCCAACTGTGACATTGACTTACCAACTGTATTTACAAGAATACTCACCAAGGTGGGCATTTTGACATACTTTTGTGTATTTGACCAATCAGGAACAATTCAGAGTGGTTAAAGCAAAAAAAAAAAAAAATAATCCTAAGCCTGAACTTTTTTACGGGGACGGGGCAGCACATGCAAATCATGCAATGACTGTGGAAAATAACATTTGAAAGGATACTATGTTCTAGGATACTATGGCAAAGTTATTGCTTTTATTCAAACAGATTTTTTTTTTTCATGAATATATGGTTGACCTGAAGAATGAAAGCTATATCGTGCACTTGGAAAATGAAAATTACCTCACGATTTACTCACCCTCAAGCCATCCTAGACATATGTCATATGATTTTCCACTAACTATCGTACACGCGTTCCAGCTGATGATTAGGATCCCGGTGAGAATATGCTAGTCTCCTGAGAGCCAAGTTTTGTTTACAGCAAAGGAAAACCAGTCTCCTCTTGGCTTATATCAAAATCCAGACATTTTTCTTTACAAATCCCCGTTTTATACTTCTAATTCGTGACTGGTGTTTTGTTTTGATCTCCACTGCGCTTCTACGTTCTTCACTTCTCACCGGAGCTTACACTACGTCATCGGCTGGAACGCCACTCTCGCTCTTGAGCGTGTAAGAAAGTGAGTCATGCGGAGCACTTTTTGTGATGGATGGATGCACTTTATTGGACTTCAAAATCTGAACAGCCATTCACTGCCATTATAAAGAGCTAGGGCTGCGTTTCCAAAAAGCATCGTAAGCCTAAGTTGATCGTAGCTCCATTGGTATCAATGGGTCAACGATGTACTTAAGCTTACGATGCTTTTGGGAAACGCAGTCCAGGACATTTAATATAACCGATTGGATTTGTCTGAAAGAAAAGTCATATACACCTAGAATGGCTTGGGGATGGGAGGAACAGTATTAAGAACCGCTGCTTTAGAACACTGATTTTGTAACTTGTTAATCCATTAGAATCGTTAGAAGACAGAAGCGCGATTCATATATAAATAGATGTTCTCATGCAACCCTAGTTTTAACGGCATGGCAACAACTCTTCTTCTCTAAAGCAGCACAACATGGCCTCGCCCCCTTTGTTGCATGTTCCAGGGGGCGGGGTTTATCTGGGTTTGTGATGTCACAAACCTGGGAAGTAACTATGTATTCCTTACGAGGTGTTTTTGCAGGCATCAAACTGCCAGAATTTTAAAAGACGTTTTTATTTTATTTTATCTCCGTTTGCATTGAACTTTCAGCTTCGTAACTTTGCAGATATTGTTTATGCTCAAACAGCAACATTACACACCAAGTAACGTTAAAAAAAAGAGAAATCGCAATCAACCACCCCTTTAATATGCATAAACTAAAACTAAAAATTGTTTACCTCCTTTGGGTCAGGCACCTCCAACTTTGTTTCAGATGGAGCTTTAACCGCTATGACGGTTTGGTCTTTTAGGCTCTTTATTCTTCGGATGTCCTGATAGGTCACATAAGCATATGTGAGAAAGGTTAAGGACAAAACAGGGAATTACTTTCCTTCCAGTGCTCTCGTTTTCTGATCTTCAGTGGCCATTACACACTTGAGAAAGTACAGCTGAGTGCTAATAAAGGATATTTCTGACTGTGTATCTCCTCAGTCATCTGCTGGACGTTACGCGTGCAGGTCTGAATGAGCTCATCCAGGCGTCTTTCCTCCTGACTGAGTGCCAGCATCTCTCTGGCCAGGCTGTGACTCTGCACGGCTGGAGATGGAAGCCCACCCTCTGACGGCAAACTGGAGCCCCTGCAAACAGCAAAGAAAAAAGTCAACTCTTAAAACCCTTTAAATCTAAACTAGGAGCTCAAATATACTAAACGTCCAAAATAATCAGCGTTGCTTAACGCAAACCACACTTTTAAGTAACTCACAGCCATTGTATGTTGTTCTTTGACTTCTTCTTGATGAGGCGCACCCCCTCCAGCACGTTGGTGATGTCATACAGACGTCTCTTCTGGACGTTGAGCACAATGGCGGCTTTATTGAGATCCAGCACTCCATCGGAGGACTGCGCAAGCAGTTGACAGAACTTTTTAGTCAAGAATCCCAAGGATGTGTCGTATCGGGTCTTCTCCGGTGGGGTTTTGGGAGCTGAAATATAAGAGGTCATTTAATCATTCATAACTCTGCAGCAGAATGAAGGAGGGTTGGTTGGTGATGTAATTATATGGCATAACTTAATATTAGGTGGCTCAACACGGTTATCACATCAGCAAAACCGTGGAACGACAGAATGAACTTTATACCTTTGGGGACCTTCAGTTTAAGAGCGCCTTTGCGACTCCGAAGGGTTTTAGCTGGCTCGCTGTATTGGTGGTCTGTGATGTCCAGCTCCAGTCTCCTTTTAGCCTGTTTCAAGAAAATAAAATATGAAAGGTGACCCAATCTTTCAGGGTTACTAGATTACATATACAGTATAAGCACTACACAATTGAAATGCACAGAAAAGCTAAAAATCCAATTTTACGCAACATTTAGCTAGTCAATGTCCTCATTTTAAGAACAGAACGCGTGCATTATTCATAGAAATGTCTGAGTGGATTGAACCCAACACTTACGTTATTTGGAAAAGTTGGCAACATTATTGGGTAATAAATCACAAATTCTGCCAATATATTGTCTGTGGCCATTAAAAAGTACATTTATCAAGAGTAACACCTTGTAAGTGCCTAAAAGGGAATTTTTTGCCAACCATTCAGGATTCATCTCTCACAAAAAGCAGCAGATATTAGTTTTACCTAATAATACAATACTTAACTCAACACACTTGGAGCAGGGGGAAGCAAAATGGCAGTCCTCCATTACCAAAGCCTTAAACTCAGTGACCACTGAGAAACTTAAAGTACCACTGACCCCCGAGATAATTATAGATGCAGTCGAGATCTATTTTTTGCGTTTTGCATATTGCAAAAACACTGCTGTCATCATAATGTTAAATAGGAAACACCGTTTGATGTCATAGGAAGTGCCCTTTTAAAGTGCTGCAAAAATGCATGCATGCATTGCAGCTTGTGTAAACGTATAGATAAAATGCATATTTTTGTATTTGGGGTAAAATAAAAAAAAAATACAAAAAATCTTTATAAATGTTTTATCAAAAAAAGTTTGATAAAATCAGATTTGTGGAATTTAAGGTCCTACATGTCAAGTTATAACTTGCTACGTCTCTATACAAATGAGATAATAGATTTGTGTAAACCTTCACATTTTGTAGGAGGAAAAAAAACGGCAAACAAAAATTGTAAGCCTAGATTTCTTTTTTTTTTTTAAAACGGTCTCAATGAGCAACTTTTTTTTTTTTTTTTTTTTACATCAACACCACATTAACATTAGAATGCTCATCGTTGTACATTTAGCCTCACCATTTTTATGATTAATATTCACAACATAATCTGAATTAATCTTATATGACATTTTATTAGCTTTATTGTCATTCCCTCATTCATCCCCATCTGCTTTTCCTACCCATGTTTTTTTTTTTCACTTGCAATTCACTTAAATTGAAACCATCTACATTTGTTCAGTCTGAAGTAGTTATAATTGCTGTATTGTTCCATGCCCTGAACCCTATACAACAAAACTAAAGTTTGATCTCTTGATAAGCCGTTTAAGTTCGGGTAATATGAAAACCATCGACCTCGCGTATGCCAAACTACTTCCTAAAGAGACGCCAGTCTGGAGTTTCAGCAGTAAATACCGATAAAAACAAGTTAGCAAAGCATTCGGCTTAGCACAGAGTCCGCGAGCTCAGAAATGACTCCATCCCCCATCCTAAGACAACAAACCAGGGCCTACACTCCACTAATTCAAGCTTTTGCGAGTTAAGCAGACTTCTATTCGACCATATCTAATCGATAGTACACTTCATATCATCGATATCAGAGCTATATAAAGCGCTTTACAGCAGCAACCCTCGAGCTTTCGAAGAAAACTTTAAAAGGCGTGCAACTGGACAACCAACCGACTCACAAATACTACACTAGTGTTATTTTTTGCATATAATGCATTAAAGCATCTTGTCTCACACGGTTACAGTCGTATTGTCTAATTCAGTTAAAGCAGAATGGTAAAGACAGCAGGGACTACATTGCGGAAATATGCATGTTTGTGGTAAACAGTCGTCATGCGTCATTACGCATTTTTGGGGGACATTCAATAAAGGTCTTAATCAGTTGAGTATCTAAAACGCGCCGATTCGTTTAGCACAATAAACCTGCCTAACGTTACTCCAGACACTGAACGCACACGAAGCAGCTCCAGCAGTAGCCATGATGACAGCAGAAGTAGGCTAAGTGGACTTAGCCTAACGACTTAACATTTACAGGATTGAATGTGCAACACTTAAACACAGAATCATAGCAGACACTTACCGGTGGTCGTCCTAGTGTGGGTCGCAGTCCTGTCCCATGTGTCGCTCCTTGTAGAGGAGTTGTGTACAAGCTGTCCGCAGAAGCCTCGGGCACACTGACATTATTAGTGGACGGCGGTGTGTTTATTTGTATACGGGCTGCACTGGAATAAGCTGCACACCGTCGATCGGAAACCGCGCTAAAAACACCGTGTTGTTCACCTCTAACAACCCCCGTTAACATGACTTGTCCTGGGACCGAGGAACCCCCCTTTCTCATGATCCTCAGAGGCGCAGGTTCCCCTTTGTCCCACTTGTGCTTTGAGGCTCGTTTTCTCTCTAATCCGAGCGGGAGGATATAAAATAATCATAAATGATGAACGCGCACAGTGTTAGGAACGCATCGCTGTAATATGAGTGAAATTGCTAAAGCCTAAGACACCCGATGTAAGCGATTAAAATGCGCTGCAAACTCCCTCTCGCTAGAGCGAAAAATGGCTCCAGGAAGCGGACAATGAAGTAGGGGATGAGGTTTACGCGCGAAAGGTCCTCCCGCGAAACTCAGATTTCCCGGGAAATATTTGAAACGGATTTGCATACGCGAAATCATTCGCCAGCACCGTTCTGTTTCCCGCCCTCAAGTGCTGACGTGTAGGTATAGTGGCGCCAATGAAAACGCAGGATGGCAGATATTTGTTAAATACACCGGTTTGTCCTCTAGAGGGCGTTAGATATCCGACACATTCTTAGTGCACTACATAGGCTGTTTTAATCAACTTTACTTTACTTTACTTGTAGTCATTTAGCAGACGCTTTTATCCAAAGCGACTTACAAATAAGAAAAAGTAATTAAAGCTAAAACTCTATAAATACTATATATATATATA